CCAGCACCATGCAGTGCTGTGTACCCAGCACTGTAGAGCACCCTGCACCCAGCACCATGCAGCACCTGCAGCCAGCTGCACAGCAGGGGCAGGCGCAGGGGGCAGGCAGCAGCAGGGTGGCCGCGGGTGCCTGGCGCGGGGCCCGGCCGAGCAGCCCGGGCTGGGAGGGCCGGGCCGGGCAGCCGGAGCAGATTGGCTGCGGCGCTGCCTGCGGGCTCCTTTGAAAGCGCAGCGCGGCGTGGGAGGCGCTAGGGCCACGGGGCAGCGCGAGCGGAGCACCCTTCTCCGTCCCGTCCCGTCCCGTCCCGTCGGCAGGCAGAGCCGGCGGCCGGCGCCACCAGCACCGATGCCGCGGCACGGCAGCACGGCGGCGGCGCTGGGCACGGCGCTGCTGGCACTGGCGCTGGCCCGCGCGCAGAACTACGACTACTACGGCTGGCAGCCCGAGAGCCAGCCCCACGGGCGCTACTACGGCCGCGAGCCGCAGTGCGTGGACATCCCGGCCGACATGCAGCTCTGCCGCGACGTGGGCTACAAGCGCATGCGGCTGCCCAACCTGCTGGAGCACGAGTCGCTGGGTGAGGTGAAGCAGCAGGCGGGCAGCTGGGTGCCCCTGCTCGCCAAGCAGTGCCACACGGACACGCAGCTCTTCCTCTGCTCCCTGTTTGCGCCCGTCTGCCTCGACCGGCCCATCTACCCGTGCCGCTCGCTCTGCGAGGTGGTGCGCGACTCCTGCGCGCCCGTCATGGAGTCCTACGGCTTCCCCTGGCCCGACATGCTGCACTGCGCCAAGTTCCCCTTCGACCACGACCTCTGCATCACCGTGCAGTTCGGGAACAGGCAGGCCACGCCGCCTCCAGGTAAGGCAGCTCGCGAGCCCCTACAGCCCCACACGGGGGGACCGGGAATGCGGGGAGAGCGGAGCAGGGCAGGGACCGTCCCGGCAGCAAGGGGAGAGCACGGAGCCCTGCGCTGCGCCTGCGCTGCCCCCRTTCCTGTGTGGGTCTCAGCGCACTAAGGATGTGGCACCCTTAGGGATGCAGTGTCCAAGGGATGCAGCACTCTGAGGGATGCAGCACCCTAAGAAATGCTGTGCTCTAAAGGATGCAGAGCCGTAAGAGGTGCAGTACCCTAAGGATGCAGCACCCTAAGGGATGCAGCACCCTAAGGGATGCAATGCCCTAAGGATGCAGTGCCCTGTGACAGCTCAGCGCGAGGGCAGCAGGCGCTGGTGGCACCTTCCCCCAGGTGCAGCCTTCGCTCCTGCTGCTGCTCACCCCGGTTGGCAGGTGGCCGGGGCAGGTATGGGAACGCCACCCTGCTAAGGGCTCCGCRCCAGCCGGGCACAGCTCCCCAGCACGGGGGGTCCCCGGTGCCCACCCTGGGCAGCGCAGCGGCCGCCACGCCGGCTCCTCTCTCCCCGCAGTGCCCAAGATCTGCACCCAGTGCGAGATGGAGCACAAGGCGGACGGCATGATGGAGCAGATGTGCTCCAGCGACTTCGGTGAGTGCCCGCGTCCCCTGCGGCTCCCCGCCAGCCCCAGTGTGCCCAGGCGGGTGGGACAGCCAGAGAAACACAAGGGAGGMCCACGGAGGCTCCTCTGCCCTCGTGGCAACCTCTTCCCCTCCCCAGCCTCCCTCAGGGGGCTGGTTGCACCCCGTCCTGCAGAGGCCCCGGGCACTGACCCCACAGCACCCTCACAGCGCCCCACGKCCCTCTGTGTGCCCCGCAGTGCTCAAGATGCGCATCAAGGAGATGACGGAGGAGAACGGCGAGCGGCGCCTCGTGGCCGCCCAGAAGAAGAAGGTGCTGAAGCTGGGCCCGCTCAAGCGCAAGGACACCAAGAAGATGGTGCTGCACATGCGGAACGCGGGCGCCTGCCCCTGCCCGCAGCTCGACAGCCTCAGCGGCAGCTTCCTGGTGATGGGCCGCAAGGCGGGCGGCCGCCTGCTCCTCCTCGCCATCTACCCCTGGCAGAAGCACAACAAGGAGATGAAGTTCGCCCTCAAGTTCATGTTCTCCTACCCCTGCCCCCTGTACCATCCCCTGCTCTATGGGGCTGGGCAGCGCTAGGGCCCTGCCCGCCCCATCGCAGGACTCTTGCCCGCGCCAATGGGGCCAGAGCTCCGACCCTGCTCTGTGCCCCAGGACCCCCAGCTGCACCCCTGGGAGCTCCGCTCTTCATCCCCGGGATTCCCGGCTGCATTTGTGGGAGCCTGGACCTGCGCCTGGAGCCCTGCCTGTCCCTGGAGACCTCTGCCCGTGACTGGGAGCTTGGGCTGCACCCAGAGCCCTCCCACCACATTCCTGATCCAGCGGGAGCCCTGCTCTGCACCRGGACCCTCCCCTGCCGCATCTGCCCAGCACCCCTGGAGCTGCCCAAGACCTCATCCTTCCTTCCCCAATTYCCTCTCCAGCTTCCTGAGCATCCCATTCCACCCCCCAAGCAGAGTTCATCCAGACGCTCCCATCTTCACAGGAACCTCTCCAGCCAGGACGGGTCTCTCCTGCCCCGCTGTGCCCACCCACCCCAAACCCATAACCAGCTATGGGGAGCAGCACCCCAGGGCCTCTGGATGGGGCCAGCCCGGCTCCCGCTGTGCTGTGGGGCTGATGGCTGTGGACAGCACAGGGCACGGACCCACGGAGCCCCCGGGCCCCCCCTGCTGCCCCACACAGCTCACACAGGCCACAGCAAGGCAGGGTCACCCCAAAGCCGTCCAGGGCAGCCCCACGGTGCCCCCAGCCCCCGGCAGAGCCCCCGCCGGGCGCCCAGTACCACGCACTGCAGTAAATTATTCTGCCTCGGAGAAGACCCGTGTCCAGCTCCCTGTTGTTCTTGGGTCCCCTTCCTGGGGTTGGGGAGGGCAGAGGGGGGTCCCCAACTTGGGGATTGAGCAGCGGGAGCCAGGAGAGCACCGGGACCCAGCCCTGATCCCACTCCCAGGGCCTGCGCCTGGGCAGCGGGGCCGACACGTCCGTGTCCAGCACAAGGTCCCCGCAGCYGCAGGCACCGCGGGCCCTGCGGGGYACCCAGCAGCTTTGCAAGGAGAAGAGCTGCCCAGTGAGCCCCGGTCACCTCGGGGAGCTGCGGGTGCAGAGGCGGCGGCAGGGAAAGGGGCTGGCCCTGCTGCCGGACCCCCGGCCGGGGCTGCAGGTGCTTGGCAAGAGATGCAGCTTCCTGCGGCAGCCCGGGATGGACCCGCGGCTGGAACCCGGTGCTGCCAGTGCTGACCTCGGGCCTGGGGCATCACCCCTTCTTCATCCGCTCCTGGAGAGCCTGGGGCAGCCCAGGGGGAACCGGGGGCTCCCTGGGCCACCTCCACCATAACCGGTGGCACGTCCCCACTGCCTGCCCCCGTGCCCACACAGCCCTATTTACCCAGCGCATTCCAGAGCCGGCTGCGTCACGGCACATCCCGGCGGGTGAGCCAGGCAGCTGCCGGGATGTTTACCCGGCGCCCGGACACACGCCTGGCCRCCGCACACTGCCGCCTCTCAGAGGAGCTGGCACTGCCGGAGGAGACGGGGGGCAGCACGGGGGGGCTGTGCAGGGCCGCCCCACACACTGCCAGCCCCCCCGTGGGGCTGCCCCACACACTGACAGGGGGGCACCTGCACAAGTTGGAGGCCCCAAAAGGGCATTGGCGGCTCCCACAGCCGCCCCACAGCGCAGCCGAGAGCAGGGGGTGGCCGATCCCCACGGCACCCTCGGGAAGCCGTGTGAGCTCCCACCCTGCAGCACAGGGTGCGGGGAGCCGGGGCGCTCGTCCCTCGTGTCGCCCCATTATGAGGCTCCCGTGGGCCGGGGATCCCCCTGCCCAGCTCAGGGGCATCTGTCGCCCGTCCGGCAGTGCAGAATGAGCAGCTGCCCAGGGCACCTTGCATGCACAGACACCTCGTTCACAGCCCAGGTGCTTCCTGCAGGGAGGCGAGGGAGTTCTCAGCCTCCTTGAGGTATCCAAGTGCTTGGCCAGCAGCACCCAGGGCCCTTCCAGCGCCCGGGCTGTCCTGCAGAGCCCGCAGGGCTCAGGGCTGCACCAGGACCCCCACCTTGCACCAGCGGATGCCCAGACCCCRGACCCTGCCCGGCAGCTGGAGGGCACCGGCCCCCCCGCGGGCCGGGGCGGCAGCTCCGCAGCCTGGGGCCGTTCCCAGGCGGCAGCGGCCAGGGTCACATTCCTGGGATAGCTGGGAGCTTTGCTGTTGGCGCAGCGAAAGGTCAGCGTTGTGAGCGCGGGCAGCTGCCAGGACCACCGCCGCGCCGGGCACGGGAAGGAGCAGCCCCGGGCAGCACAGGGCCAGCCCGGCCTCCTGCTGCCAAGGACGGGCTGCTCCGCAGGGCCGCGGGGCCAGGGCAGACGAGGCTGCGACAGGCAAAAACAACAGTGAGAGAGGGGACGGAGCAGACATTGCTTTCCTCCACCCTACGTGTGCTTTAGGGTCGCAGTCCTCTCCTAACACACAGCCAAGGGGACAGGGGCTCACAGCCTCAGCCTGCTGGAGTGGTCACCCCTGGGGTGCAGGCAGGCACTACCCAGCCCCCAGAGCAGGGGGAACAGAAACAACCGTAAAGGAAGGACAKCGGGACGGAGGGCACTGCCCCTGTGCTGAGGGCACCCAGCACCGCAGGCTGCTCCTTGGGCACCCGGCGCCCCATGCCAAGCGGCCACAGCAACCGTCTCTTCTGAGTCACAGGCACAGAGGTGCTGGGACACTCAGGAAAGGGGGCAGCCGTCACGGCGGCAAGCACTAAGTGATGACAAGAGATGTAATGGTTGATCTCTATATACATTTATATATTAATCTGTAGTAGAAAGCAGCAGTCACTAAGTACATAGAGCAGCCTAGCTCACCCTGTGACAGCCCCCCAGCCCTGTCACTGAGCTCCGGGTCCCTGCTACAGCCAAAAACRGTGGGGAAGAAAGACTAGACCTGGMTACGAGGAGGCTGAGGAGCACAGGAGGGGCCAGGCGGAGCCCAGCTGAGCCAGGACCGAGGACACAGCTCCTGGGGACACAGACAGAGCTCCGCCTTGATCCCCAAAACAGTCCCCTTGCACAGCGCTCRGAAGGGCAGGGACAGAGCCCTGAGGCTGCCCTGCTCCCAGGCAGGAGCCGAAGCGGGAGGGCCGGCTCCTCGGCCGCCCTGCCTCGGGGGGCAGCAGGGCGGCAGGCGAGGCGCCGCTTGGAGCCGGCTGCGGCGGCACGCGCTCTGCGGCGAGCAGAGCCGCTCCGGCCATCCCGGCCATGCCAGCAGGGCAGCAACACGTACAAGTGTCCTCTGGAAGCGATGCCAAGCATCCAAGGCCTCCAGCAAGGAGGGCAGCGCTGTCCCATGAGGCAGGACGGGACCCCGGTTGGGTAGTCAAGAGCCCACGTGCTGGCCGGGATTGTTGTGGTCAYTTGATGAGCACCTGGTTGCACTGAGCACACACGAAAACTGTCTCTCGCTGAGCTTCGGGGGCTGGAAAGAAAAGCAGCCATCAGAGACCACCCACCTTCCCCCACCACATCAGCCAGCAAGGGCCTGGAGCTGCTTCAGAAGCAGCCGCCACTGCTCTACCCTGGGCCAGGCTGCACGGGGCAGGTCCTGTCCCCACTCCCCCAGGACAGGAGCAAATCCAGGTGGCAGGTAACCCAGGTCAGAGCAAGAAGGCTCTGTCCCCTGCCTCCCACTCACCTGTAGCTCCCATCACAGCCTTGGGGACTTTAAAGGAGCAACACCTGGAGCAGAAGCTGTTCCCACAGTTACTGCAGCTCCTCTGTGGACAGAAACAGGGGTGAGTCACTATGAACAACTTGGGGAGCTGATGGACCTGCCCAGCCCTCCCTGAGAAACGCCAGGGCCAGTGYTGCCACTGCTGTGGCAACAGCAGGGACAGTTGGCCAGAGACTCCTGGACAAACCGCCTGGCACTGGAGCTGCATTCCCAGCAGCCTGTACCCAGCTCAAGGAGGCCGGGCACCACAGGCTCCAGGACGCTGCATCCAATGCTTCTTACAATGAATCCAATACAATGGGGGGCACCAGCTCTAGGGAGTCTCAAACACACAGCAGACTGAGCCAGGAGGACGAGCAGGGAGCCATGAACCTGGAGAGTGAGGGGACAGCAACAAGGCAGCAGCATCCATCTGCCCATAGTCAAAGACTCATCCCTCTCCAGACTTGGGGAACGTGCAGCCAGCACCACACCCAAGGGCTCAGACCAGAAAACAAGGTACCCTTGCTGCTCCTGTGACACACACCACGGCAATAACRGGGTTTGTTCCCACTTCAGCATGAGCCTGCAGGCAAACCAAGCTCTGCTTTCACTGGAAAGCTCCATGTGCCAGAACTGGGCTGACCGGTGCAYGGGCGCTGCGTGTGAAGCAGCACACGCAGACACGCAACCCAGAGGAACCTGCCGCCAGCCCGTGCAGAACGCAGAGGCTCCAGAGCCCAAGGCATCCCCGACACCACCGGGCACGTGACAACACCCAGCACTTAGCTGAGGTCACCCATTGCCAGGCTGGGGCAGATGTTGGCCTGACCMCAGCTACAAGAGCCACAGGAGAAAACTAGGACAAGCCAGACGTGCAAAACCTCTGTCCCAACACAGGCAGTCAGCTGGGGCAGGAGAAAYTGAAGTCTCACCCTCTTCTTGAGCACGGAGAAGGTGGCTGCGCAACCCGTGCAGTTCCCTGGAAGAGAGAGAGGAGAGATGAGACTGCCTGGGACGAGCAAGAGGCACCGGACACCCTGGGAGCAGTAAAGGCTCTGCCTGCCGACCATGGGGCTGCCCCCCTCCCGCCTGCCAACACACTCCCCATGCCAGCACGGGGAACGTGACTTGCTGGGGGTGCCAGCCCGGCCCTGGCAGGTTCCAAACCACTCCTGCCATTCCCAGGTCACTGCATCCCCAGCACGGGCAGCAGAGGCCCCGCTCCGTTCAGCTTCCCCAAGCAGCAGCCGCCTCCAGCCTTACCAAAGTTGTTGCTGGGGTAGCGCTTGCGCAGGCGCTCGGTCAGCCGCGACACCTTGCTGCGAATCACCTCGTTTTTGCTCATGAAACCRTTGTCCGGGAGGCTGAGGTCAAACTCTGAGGAACACTGAGAGCTTTCATCATCTTCCTGCAGAGAGGAGGGCTGGTTGGGCATGGAGGGGTGGCTGGGGGCACTGCCGGGGGGCTGAAGGGCAGGCTGGGCCAGCAGCATGTGCTAATCCAGCAGGATGCTCCACTTGGCACTGCCGCGAGCTGCGGCTGAGCCAGGCAGAGGCTGCCAGCTCCAGCTGGGAGGAGATGCCTCTCTTGCCCCCCTGGCAGGGCGGTACTCACCATGACCAGCAGCTGGTTCTCCTTCTCCCGCAGCATGGGACAGAGAGGACAGGTAGTAGAGAAGCAGGGAGACTGCAGAGGTACCCAGCCCTGCACCCCTTTCCCTGGGCACCCAGGTCACTTCTGCCACCCAGCCCCCACCATGGGGCTTGGACACCCCCGTGCTTGTCCCTTCCCTGCAGGGCTCTGCTCAACTCCACTACAGCCACCCAGGAGGCATAACCCATCACCAGGTTCAAACCTCAATAGCATCCTTGAACTCTTCATCCGGCTCTGCCTCCTCAGCCTCCTCCACGCTGCCAGGGGTGAGGTCCTGCAAGAGATTCGCAGAGCTAGTCCCACACTATCCTCACCTCCATCCAAAAAAGGGCCTGCATCTCAGGATAAGCATCAGGGTATCAGACCCAGACAGCGGGCTGAGMCCCCTCCTCCCCAGCTGACTCCAAATGCACGGCGGGACTAAGCCAGATCCCCAGCTTAGCAGGGCAGCCCCTTGTCAAAATATGCTGGGCTCCATGGCTGGACAAACAGGTCGTCAGCAGAGCAAGCAGCTGGGAAGAGCTCGTGGGCTGCGGGACATCGCCACAAGCTCAGCTCTGTGGTCTGGCTGTGCCTCCCACCCCACGGCTCCCCATCCTGCCCCCTTACCTCTGTGCTGGTGGGTGTGGGGGTCTGGTCTGGTGGGGCAGCAGCCGGCAGAGGCTCAGCAGGTTCTGGGGTGCTCTCAAGGGGCTTGGTGCCCAGGCGCTGMTCAATCGAGGCTTTCAGCTCCAGTATCACTGAGAAGAGGGGACAGGGCTGCAGCAGGCTGGCACTTACCTTCCCCAGTTCCTCCCCACAACAGCTGCCTGCTGGAGCCAATCTCCAGGATTTCAGGCAGGCTGCACCCTCAACCACAGGCACACACTGACTTCAACATCACACCTAGAGCAGCTGGCACACTCGGAACAGGATGGAATCCCCCACCTGCACCAGACTGGGAAGAGTGGGCACTCTGGGCACAGCTGAGCCCCACAGACAAGCAAGGGCCTCACCCTTCAGCTCTGGACAGAGCAGGAGCAGGCACCGAGAGGGGTGGTGAGGGCTGCCGTGGAGCCGCAGGCTCCCCCAGGGCAGGCTCTTACCACGGTAGAACTGGGCATTGCCCAGGAAGAGGGTGCTGTTGAGGATGGCCAGGACCCAGCAGAGCGGCAGCAGGTAGAGGATGCACACGGAGCCCAGCAGTGCCCCGTAGAACCTGAGAAGCAGCAGCAGGACAGCAGGGTCAGGATGGGGCAGCCCCCAGCGTGACCCACCCCAGCCAAGCACACCCCCTTCCTCCCTCACCCTCTCCTCTGACTGCCCTCCCCACGCACCGAGCGCATTAACCGCGGCTCTGCGGCACCCTGCCTCCGAGCCCACCCTGGGCACCCAGCCCGGAGGGACTCACTGCGAGGAGACGGTGGGGTTCTCCCAGTAGAGAACCCGGTAAACRGCCTCGCAGCTGCAGCACATGGCACTCAGGAAGGCCTCCAGCTGGATCAGGCTACGGGCGAGAGCACAGAGTCGAGAGGAGCTCCAGCGGGCCCRAGCCGCCTCCGCACACACGCTTTGTGGCGGCCAGGACGGCACACAGGAAAGGCACCCTGGCTCCGGGAAGCAGAGCCCGGGACTGGGACACTCACAAGCCCTTGACCTGGGCGACGGCCTCCTGGCGCGAGAGCTGCACCTTGCGCAGGTCCTGCCGGCGGACGCTGTGGAAGCGCCGGCGCACRAGCTCGGGCGGCGAGGGCCGCGCGCGACACCACTCCTGCAGGTAGCCCAGCAGCGCCGGCACCAGCACCAGCAGCGCCAGCACCGAGTACCAGGCGGCTGCAAGGGCGGGCAGCCCGTCAGCCCGGAGCCCCGCGGCAGGGCCGGCACCGCGGGACGGGGCCCTGGCACCGCGGGATGGGGTCCCGGCGCCCACCTTGGTCCAGCGTCAGCAGCAGGAAGTTGAGGCCCAGGCAGACGAGCAGGGAGCACAGGGGCTGCTGCCACCTGCGCAGACCGCGGCGTTAGGCACAGGTGGCCCCAGGTCCCGGTGTCCAGCCCCAAGACACGATCTCCAGTCCCGCATCCCAGTTCCCAGCCCCAAGACACGATCTCCAGTCCCGCATCCCAGTTCCCAGCCCCAAGACCCCATCTCCAGCCCTGCGTCCCAGTTCCCGGTCCCAGGACCCCATCTCCAGTCCCATGTCCCAGTTCCCAGCCCCAAGACCCCATCTCCAGTCCTGTGTCCCTGTTCCCAGCCCTAAGACCCCATCTCCAGTCCCACCTCCCTGTCAACGGTCCCAGGACCCAATCTCCAGTCCCATGTCCCAGTTCCCWGCCCCAAGACCCCATCTCCAGTCCYGCGWCCCAGTTCCCMRYCCCAGGACCCGATCCAGTCCCGCGACCCAGTTCCCAGCCCCAGGACCCGATCTCCAGTCCCATGTCTCAATTCCYGGTCCCAGGACCCCATCTCCAGTCCCGTGTCCCTGTTCCCATCTTCACTCTCAGCCCCAGGGCTCCAAACCAGGTTCCAGATGCCGCCCTTGGTCCCGAGCCCAGCCCCGGTGCCGCCCCCTGGTCCCAGTCCCGCTTCCACGATGCCGCCTCCCGGTCCCAGCCCCGGTTCCCCAGTACCGGGTCCGAGCCCAGCCCCGTTCCCCGCGGGGCACGCACCGCAGCAGGGCGCGCACGGCGCGGGCCGCGTCCCGCAGCGGCTCCAGGTAGAGCTCCAGCCGCCGGTAGCTCAGCACCAGCGTGAGCAGGTCGAAGGCGGCGGCGCGCGGCGGCGCG